GGCTGATTCTGAACACGTCTCTGAAAACTCAGAAATTTGAGTTTGATTTGCTGTATCTTTTATTTTAAATTTAATATAAAAGTTTTTATATCAATGGTAAACTTTAAATTTATGATTCATTGCAACAAAATAAACAAATTTAAAAGGTGAAAGATAATACTAGTCCTATCCCTGAGCTGTTGGATTTGTACCTGTGGTCCCCTGAGCAATTTAGTTGAACAGTCCTGCATTAATGTCTCATAATAAGCTGCTTCAGAGCCAGAATTGACCATAAACTACTGTACATCTCCCATWATGCATGGGAGTTCAGAATAAAAAAAAATCTTTATTTGTTTCACATTCAGTCAGTCGTACGTTTCAGTGCTTATAACAGGATGTGTTAAAACACTGTTTCTATACAGGGAATACCATGTAGAGCTGTTAATTTTAGCAGTGCTCAGCTGTGAGTTAAACAAAAAAAAAACGCCAATATTCACGTTTGCCCTTTGTAAAACTGAATTTGACACTGCTGCTGTAAATCCTCTACCAGCAAAAWATATATTCAAATATATTTTAAACTAAATTTAAAAATCTGACTGTGTGCCCTTTACCAACTTTGACTTTGCACTTCGCCCGTTGCCTTTCACGCTGGAGCTTGAAACCAAAATCATCTTTAGTTGAGTTGAAGCATTTTAAGTTAAATCTTGAAAATAGCTAGATGAAATATCTTATTGCTTGGAGTGACTGTCAGCTACTAACACACCAGCATCGGTGAAACTGACTGAACTGTGGCCAGTTTGGCATCTTGCATTCTTGAAAGTGGTTGTGTCCGAGAGTAATGAGATGTAGATGTTCGTACAATGATGATTTTCTGAGAGTTTCACTCAAATCTGTTCAATACTTCATGAGATGTTTTGGTAACAAATAAACAAAAGGTGATTAAAATTAAAATTAAACACGGATGTTGAGCAAGCAGTTGGTGCTCAGAGTACAAGTTGAGGATCAGTGTCAGCTAATACCACACCAAAGTTTAGGTCGTTATCTGTTTCACTGAATGAGTTTTAGCCCTTTTTGTGTTGCTAGGATAACGTTGCTGTGGTGGCCATATTGAATCGGATTTACTCTAAAAGTGAATCACTTGTAGATATACATTTGACAATTACCTTTTGAAAGTTTCATTGAAATTTGTTTAGTTAATCATGAGATATTTTGCTAACGGACAAGCACACACAGACATGGGTGAAAGCATTATCGCTCTGCCTTTAAGAGCAGGTGGTAAAATTAGGAATCAAGGCCTATTTGTTGAACTGTCACTTTTTGTACCACCGTTTAGTGATCTTCATTATGAACGGGGGAGGGGGGGGCGACGACAAACAAACAGGAAGTGCATGTCTATCTGCAAATGAGGATTTAGATTCTGTTAAGCCAAACAAAGAGCCAATTTAGACGCACCACAAACACAAACCAGGCAGATTTTTCTTTCGATTAATACTATTTTGGGAAAAGGCGAAAGAAAAACTAAAAATAATGATGCCAAACTTTTTCCACAGTACACCAAACTTTTATTRACATGTAAAAGCGTACGGTACTTTATATACATCTTTCAGAGTATGTACAAAAAAATAATAATCATCAAGAGCCCATGAATGTTACACATGTAGAAAAATATGCATCCACATCTATAGAAATATGTACACAATGTGCAAAACATATGGCATTACGAACAAGAGGCATGGCGTGGGCGATGGGGACAGATGGGACACTCGGGCTGCTATACGAGCCGTGAAAATCCTTCCTGATATCCACTCGCCGTCCGTCAGCTGCCGAGAGAGATGAGGCCTGAGCCCAGACCCGTCTCAGCAGCGTTCAGAGGACCAGCACCCTAAAACCTGCCCCACGTAGAACCCCTCAGATATGAAGTGCTTTCATGCTGCATTGCTCTGTAGTGGAGGCTCTTACATTTAATACAAACAAAAAGGGTGGAGGCAGGATCTGACGTGCAGTACAGTACATGGAGGGAGAGCAGCTGTTATTGCCTTTATCTGCCCTCGTGTGGCCGCAGCCACCGTGCTGAGTGGATGTCGCACAAACTCACAACTGAGTGGAGGCTTACTGCAACCAACAGCTTCGTGTGTCAAACAGAAACGTCACAAGAATTTTAAACATATGTATAAAAAAAGGAGAGAAACACAAAATCAAACAAAAAAAACGTGATATTTAACAAGACAAAACGTTCCACTGTCGTTTTAGTGACAGAATGTCAGAAAAGGAGCCAGAAAATAAAACACTAAAACCAGCTATAAGATTTTACCATACAGCAATGTGATGGAAAACAAACAGTTATGTCAAAAAAAAAMCCTCCACTGTGGGAAACAGGACTATCAGAGTGCAGTGTTTGGCATTATTCCTTCACATGGTCAAAACACTTCAGACGCACCAATAAAAGCAGAGGCAGAAACCACTCCTCCAAATCATGTTTTTTTAGTGATGAGCCTAAAGAGGCGTCGCCCTCTAGTGCCCGTGGACGTAACTGCAGGAGGRAGTGGTTACAAACAAAAACACAATTTTCTAACTAGAATTAAAAAGAAAAAGTTTTCAAAAGTGCCATCCAGATGAACTGGAAGAAGTCCAGAGGAAAGATTACTTCTACAACTTCACTGATAAACAAAACATTATTTGGAAAAAGAGGAAAGGTACTCATCGCAAAGCATCAAATCAAACAATATGAAGGTTTGTCAACTGGTGCACTTTTAGGGATTTTGGTCCAAYAGTTATCTAGATATACYGATATGCAGTTCTGAAATGCAGATATGCACTCAGTGTAAAAATAGCACAGGTTGAATTTGCCGAACAGCTGTAAAATCTTGWAGTAGTTCAGATGGAAAACTAAAAGTGAATCTGCTGCTGAACAGAAAGGAAAACAGGAAGAATGAGTTTAGCAAACTGATCAGAATAAAAACTGAGGATCAAGAAGGTTTGAAAAAAAGGCTCCTTTGTTGCTGATCTATTTTGAGCCACTTCAGCTGTTTTTCCAAACGTAAACAAACTCCTGTGGTAGTTCACATCTGGGCACAAATTTAGCTAAATTAGGAGCACATTAACCATCAAGATGAGACAAAATGTTACAGATTTCTTCTTTTGTTTTAATGATTCACAATGGGTACCTTTAAAATCGACTGTGGGACACCGATCGAACAAGAAAAACAAATGCAGACGGTCATCAGAACCATTTTTGGTGAGGTAAACTCCAGGCAGGTGGAAAGCAGGAAATAGTTTCTGGGTTTGTTTTTTTTTTCTTCAGCTTAGAAAGAGTTTGAAACAACCGGAGTATAAATACAGAACAGTCATGCACACGGAGAGGCATGTACATGCAAGAGATGGGAAGACAGACCCACACTTGAGTCACACGATAACATGCTTGCGTCTCTCTCTCTCTCTCACACTCACACACACACACGCACGCACGCACACACACACGGTGCAGCGATACTGTGCGACAGCTAAATATAAAGCTCAAAGACGTTTTGCTTCTCTGATATGACTTGCAGCACACTTATTGTCTGAACGCCTTATAAACTGATTTTTTTGCTCCCTTTATATTGTTTATTCATTTATTTATCTATTTATTCATTCATTTATTTGTCAGTTTATGATTTCTGAAGAAAAGAAGCTGCCAAACTTTTAAATAAAGTCTGTCTTTTTGTCACGTTTTCAAAAGTACATTCAAAATAAGGACTTGGACCACTGCAGAACAACTAGCAAACATGACAGTTATGCTGATTACAATCATAGATTATTGTCTATCACCTTGGATATGCAGCGTTCACATTTTATTGTTCTGAGGCGTAGTTTTTTTTWATTTTATTTTTTATTGTCAGACCTTTCTGCCTCTTTTAGTGCATAGCTCGCAGGTTGACGGAGGAGTTCTGTCCTCCTGTCGGATCTTATGTTAGAGTCGTCGTTTGGTCGGTGCGGACACGAGCAAAGGAGCGGATCTGACGTCAAACTGTCGGGAGTAGTCGGGAAGTTGCCCACAGCAGGCGGCAGACCAGACCAGACCAGACCAGACCAGACCAGACCAGACCAGAGTGTGTCGAGGACTCTTGTAAAACTTGGCGGCAGACTGAGCTCGTGTGGCTTTGACAGATACGACTGTTCTCAAAGCACTTACTGGTTTTATCCAAGTTATTTTTTTAGGGGGGGGGTCCCTTTAATGAAGTTCACAAACATCGATATGCCTCTATATTGGAAAAAAATAATAATTTGGTTTTTACTCCAGCTCTAATCTGAGTTATTAGTTCTGTTGGGAACATGTGGAACAACGAGCCTTAAAACCAGAACGTCAGTGAGCTGAGACTGTTGAAGAGCATTCAGTCTCTAAAATATCTCCAAACGATCACCACCTTGCAGACTTGTTGCTTGAARTTATAACSTGTTGTAAAATTTGWTTTTGCCCATTTGTAGGCGTTTCTRTCATTCCAGAGCACCAGAGCTCTATGCTGACTCCTGGGCTGGAGCTCCCCTAATGACAGAAAACATCCAAGGCTAGCTGAAAGTCCAGGTCTAAAAGCTGAACAAATGAGAAATAATAATTAGTAAAAACTGTTCCCAAATCTGCCTACATTCATTCTAAACACATACTCTAGTTGATTAAATCATAAACATAGGGGTGCTACCAAGTTGCATCGATGGGAGTTCAATACGAGTGCAGGCAATAACGTGCACGGCCTGCACTTTTCTAAGCCTTGCACAAAAAGTGACCAAAAGCTGGTTGTGCAGGACGAGGCCAGCGGCTCACCTGGCAGCAAACGGTTTGTAAGAAGACAWTCATCGAGCTTCTTGCAAGTTTTTCACAATTTGGTGTCCAACTAGCCAAGTGAGAAACAACTATTCAAAGCTGGTCCCTCACTGGGCCGCGACTGTCAACGACAAACTGCGAACAGCATTTACAAGAGTCTCTAAAATGTCTCAAAAACTTCCTGAAGCTAAAATTTGGTTTTTGTAATTGTAGAGAACAAGAGTCGTATCTGTTTGATATGTCTGCAGCCTCCTGGAACATGTAGGTGTAAACTGCACCTGAACTTCATGCAGGCGTGACATTGTGGCAATTTGGTGTCTCCAGCAATTCCCCAACAGTCACAGTCTGACCGTTCAGACACCGAGCCCTGCCAGGATGTTCTCTAGAGTAGAAATAATCTGGCTTWTTATCAGTCATCAATACAACTCAGGCTCCAGGGAGAGAAATCTCTCTGTGGTTTAAAGAGTATTTACAGTCTCTGTGGAAAGTCTGGATCCTGACACCAGCTGCTGTGTGCTCTGTTACSTCAGCGCCTCAGTGTGATGCTTTCTGTTCAACCGTCACCAGATTTAAAGCTGTGCTAACCCCGGTGCCTGTGGACTAATCCACCTGTTCAGCAGGATTATTACAGATGTCAGAGTGGTACGGCACAGACGAGCCACGGTTTCTTCTTCTCTTCAGCGTTTCCAGCCCTCCTCCTCATCCTCGTCAGTCCCAGTGCAGCTGCAGGTCGTGCGTGTCCAGGAAGTCCGTGGGAATCCCCAGCGGTGTGAGCGGCGCCCCCGCGGGGCCCGGAGGCATGGTGAGGTCCAGCCACTCCATGTTGTCCAGCGCCGGGTCGGACAGGCCCATGTTGAGCGAGGAGGACGGGGAGGACGAGTCGCAGAAGGACAGCTCGGACGTGTCCATGGGCGAGTAGGGCTGCTGGCCGGCCAGCTGAGCCTGCAGCTCCTCCATCAGGCCCTGCGTGCGGGGGTCCGACGCGTGCGGCGTCCCGGCCAGCGTGCCCTCCAGGAAGGCTTCCAGCTGGCTGTCCGTGCCCAGTGGGGACAGCCCGGGCAGGGTGGGGGTGAGGGCGGGGTGAGTGTGGGGAGGGGCTACCTGGATGTGCGGTGGCGGTCTGGACAGGGCGGTGTTGACGGGAAGGATGGTGATGTTGGCAGTGACCGGCAGGGTCTTACTGAGAGAGGGGGGGGCTTCCTGCTGGACAAACGGTGTGATCTCTGGGGGGGGTGGGGGACAAAGGTCAGGAAGGGACATGGACACCACGATCTGCAGATATTACATTCATGTTACAGGATTTGTGTTTTTCGTCACTTACCTCCACTTTCTATGAGAATATCAAACAAGTCGTCCATGTGCTGGCTGGTAGCCGTGGAAACCTAAAACAACATTCAAGGACATCACTTAATGATCACTGTGCTGAAAACAAACATCTCTTTGTATTGAGAATACACCGAGCAGCTGTGCTCTTATGAAAACAGTCCAGCCTGGTATATAACCAGAAACAACCAGAACAAACAGTTCTGGGGTCGGATTTATAAAACTTGCGTACGCCACTTTTTACGCCAAGGTTGTGATTTATAAAATCCAACCTTGACGTGAAAATGTGTGGTGCCTCACGCCAGCTCTGACCCATGAGTACGCTCATTTTGG